GCCTAGGCTACATACCCAACTTACCTGTTAGGGCCAGACTCCTGGGCCCGGGGTAGAGCTCAAGGCTTGGAATCATAATGGATTCCTTTAAGGGGATACGACCAAGAACCTAGTATCACACTAAGTCTTGGCCTGTCACACAGGGGCTACCGCTTGCTCTTGCATAAGCTCTGAAAGGAACTGTCTCAACAGACCTCTAGTGGCCACACCCTGTTAAAGTAGGTATCCTAAGATATCTAGGTGGAGTGGTGCCCAAGGTGAACGGGGCTTAAACCAGCTCAAGAATATAGATCGCTCTTACCACGGAAATGCGCGCTTCAAAAAAAACGGTCAGTGAAGACGAAGAAGTGAATGGCATGTTCTCCCGGCGCCTATTTATACTATAGTCGCACCGGTAGTGATGTCATGGGCTGTCGCTGGCCAACGTGTTGTTGGTGTTTTTTCAATGTATGCTTCAGACACGGGTCACGACAAGGTGTTCCCCATAGCGACCCCTAAAGGATGCAGTGTCTCGTTCCCTACTCAGGGAACCATGGTTACATACGTAACCTGAGACGTTTTTCCTTCATGGGCTGTCGCTGGCCAACGTGTTGTTGGTGTTTTTTCAATATATGCTTCAGACACGGGTCACGACGAGGCGTTCCCCCCCCCCCAATAGCGACCCCTAGAGGACGCAGTTCGAAGTTCCCTTGAAAGGGAAATGGTTCTTCTATGGCATCGCTTGAAGAACCTTTTGAAGCACCTTTTTTTTTAAGAGTGCACCCTGTATGTCAGAACTCATTTGTGCAGATATTCTGCATGGGTTCTCATAATGAAGTTTGTAAATGATGACAGAATTTTCATTTTTGCATGCACTCTTGTTCCTCTAGCTGACATGTATCGAGAGAACACAAGATCTTTTAGTCAGCACTAGACTGAAAACAGAAAACTGTGTTTTGAATTAGTGTCACATTGCTGGTGGGTTTCATTAATAAATGCCTTGATTGATCTTGATTGATGAATTCTGTTGCATGGGTCCATAAGGCATTGTTTGAATTCCATGAAGCTTTGCTTAACTTATGGTTTGAGAAATCTGGCTCAGTGAAAGCTGAATATATGCCCGCGAGATTCCCAAGAATTATATCAACGTGGAAAGGATTAAAAACAAACAAGCGTATTCCAGATTGATTACTGTCAGTAGAGTTTTGAAAATACTCTGGTATTGTTTATTGAAGTGGGTGGACCAGGAGGGGGAAAAGCTGTTCTGAGTAATGCTAATTAAGCGGCACTTTAGATTTCAGCTTAGATCCTGAAGCCTGGAAAAAAACGTTTGCTTATGTTTCACTTCTTAATGTCAAACTCAATGTGGCAAAACGTCAAAGTCCAACATGCTGTACAGAAACACGGCCAGCAAATGTTGTTCGTCACAGTTCGAGGAAAGACCATTCTGAACCCATTAGAACATCTTCCCAGATTAATTCTCTGTCTCACTTGTGTGCATAATACTAGTGTTTTGTTGCTAGTTACTAAGCTAAAGGCAACAGTATTCTGTTCTATTGTTAAAATCCACACTCAGTCAGCTGAAATGGCGAGCATGCTCATGTAGATGCTTTCCCTGTGGTCTCTTTGCAACGTTTTGCATGTGTACGGTACAATTTGCCTCATATTATTACACAAACTGCACTGTTTTAGATCTTTTATTGAAATGAAATAGGCCTGTACTTAGGGAACAATGCAAAGGGTGTTGTCTCGTATTATTCAAGAGCGCACAGCTAGACATTGAGTGCTCTCCTCAGGTTTCTTTCATGATCTGGACTTGTGTACATACACAGATCGCTTTTCTGGGTGAATCTCACGAAACCTGTAAAAAACATGTCTGGGTTGTATTTCACCCAAAAAACAAACAAACAAAAAAAATTCTTAAAGAACATAAACCTTAAATCAATTTGGAAGAACTGACTTCTATACTAGATTTCCTCACGTTTTAGTCAGTTTCATTTTACACATTTTTATTTTTAATAATTACAGTTAACTATAAGAAGTCTCTTATACTCATCAAGGCTATGTTTGGTTGATGAAAGTATAGTAAAAACAGTAATATTGTGAAATATTATTACACTTTAAAACAACTGTTTAATATTCTAATATATTTTAAAATGTAATTTATTCCTGTGATCTTTTATTTGAATTGATTCCAGCCATTACTTCAGTCTTCAGTGTCACATGATCCTTCACTATTTATTCTAATATGCTAACTTGCTGCTTGAGAAACATTTTTTTTATTATTATTATCGAGGTTGAAAACAGCTGCTTAATATTTTTGTGGAAAAATTTTCTTTGTTTTATTTGAAGTTTTTTTGCAATTTGTAAATGTCTGTCGGTTTAATGCATCAAATTTAATTTCTTAAAAAACAAACAAACAAAACTTTTGAGTGGTTCTATCTGTACTAGAGATCTGTACTAGATTTTTTGAAATGTACTTTAGCTTTTATCTTCATTTTATATATTTGAACAGTATATTTATATCATAATTTATTTACAATGTATAATTTCTTTATAAAATGTAACAATTATAAAATAAATGATAAAATTGAATGGCAAAAATTTGATTTATATTATAATTAAATGTAAAAATTTGCTTGCGTGCATTCCTTATTCTGTGGTTAGAAACTGTGTGTTTGTATTATTAAATCTTTTTTTTTTTTTTAATGTTCGTTTTTTTAAATCTTTAGTAAATCTTTTATTTTAAGGGCTTTCTCTTTCTGCGTTACGCTTACCAAAACCTCTCAATATCAATTTCTCTCGCACACACTTGAGCCGAAGAGAGGCCTGACAAAACCACTGCAATAAACTCCCAATAAACCAACAATGGGCGTCCCCATGGGCCTTTCTGGTTCAAATGCAGAGCCCTTCGGGGGCCCGGAGCAGAAGGCTGTTCATTGATCCCATGAGAGGATGTCAGGGAGATTATTGCCTGTGTAAGATAGACTCTCTCAAAAGAAGCTTGGCCTTTGTTCAGCGGGGGGATCTCTCTCACACACACACACACACACACACACACTGTGATCATTATTTCATCTCGCCCTCTTGTTAGTCCACATTGGCGCTTTTCTTTAGCGCGGCTCTCCCTCGCCCTTCCCTTCCTCGGCAGTGAGATATCTTCCATTAATCCCCGCAGGAATGTGGCTTTGGCTATGGGGAGGATGCCCAGTGTGTGCCCTGCAGAGCCAGTCGCTTCAAAGAGGACCGCAGCCTGCAGAAATGCAAGCCCTGTCTGGACTGTTCCCTCCTCAACCGCTTCCAGAAGGGGAACTGCTCCACCACCAGCAACGCCGTATGCGGAGACTGCCTGCCCGGGTGAGTCAGCCATAGGAACGCAATTATATAGAATAAAGGACGATGGGCGTTTTCCCAGACCACATGCTTAAGTCGGTGTATATTACACTCTTAAGAATAAAGGTTCGAAAGGGAGTTTTCACAGTGATGCTGAAGAAGAACCATTTGAGGTTTCTCAAAGAAACTTTGAGTGAGCAGTTCTTACTATTTTTAAAATAATAATCTACACTCTTAAAAATAAGGGTTCTTTTTGGCATTAATGGTCCCATGAAGAACCTTCAGCATCCATGCAATCTTTCCATTCCAGAAAAGATTCTTTATAGTGTTAAAAGGTTCTTTAGATTATTAAAATGTTCTTTACACCAAGAAAAATATGGTTCTTTTAGGAACTATAACTGAAAGGTTTTTTAGAGTACCAACAATGGTTCTTCTATGGCATCGCTGTGAAAACCTTTATTTTTAATAGTGTAAATAACTTTTTCTAATATAAAGAACATTTTGTGGAATGGAAAGATTCCATGGATGTTAATAAAGCAATAAGCAATAAGAAGCCGTGGTTTACAGTGAATTTATAACAGCTAAGGAGCTGTTATAATCTATAACACCCCCTTAGCTGTTATAAATTCACAGTAAACCACGGCTTCACGGGGCTTATTGCTTTTATAAAACGGTTATTCCATATACGTAGTAAGGTTTCACAAAGTAAAACAGAGCAAATAAAGTGTAATGATATTAATAAAAACAGTATTCTTCCACCAGACAATGTAGTTCCTCAGAAACAGTTGTGGTTGCAATAAAGTGGTTGCCAAGCAACACACAAACGTAAACAAAGGTGTATGTTTGTACTAGAATAATTTACACCAGCTTCGAACGTGGCTCAACCAATCAGAATCAAGGACCGGAACTATCCGTTTTATAAAGGTTCTCCATCAATGGCAAAAAAATAACTTTTATTGACTCGGTTCTTCTCAAGAAAGCTTTTTAAACCCGATTGACATGAGTTTCACGCCGCATGTGAAGCCGAGGATTTCTCAGTTTAAAGTCCAGGTCAGGGAAATAAACTCAAGGCCCAGACATGCCCTCGAAGGTAAAACATGTCAGGTTTTTGAAGACCTGCTTTTCGCTATCGCTGCAAGAGATACTAGTTTCCCCACAGAAGCATCCTGCTCTCACCAGATAGGTTTTTAATAACTTTTGATTACCCATAATTAAGTGCTTTGGCACAGTACGACATGCTGAAGGCAACTCTTCACATTACCTTCAAAGTTCATCTGCATAATTTTAGAAAAATGTGTTCTTCAGGCTGTTACTGTAACTAATGCTGGAATATTTCTCGTATTGTAAAGCATAGTTTCCCCTGATTCATTAATTAGTGCTGTGAAAAAATGATTGCCCCTGATCCATAGGTACATTTTCAAAGGGATTTGCTGCTATCAGAGAAATTCAGTTGAACAGCAAGATGAAATGCACATGTACGTAATCCAACAAATACAAAATATCACAGACAAGAATGTGTCATTTATAAACACCCCGAGGTTCTATTGTAAAGTGGATTGCTGTAGACTTTAAATTGTGTTTGACTTCTAAAGCCACTTTTTGTCTATCCAGTTGTTTAATCGGCTGCAACAATAATGGGATGTCTTCTTTGACTTATGTTCAGTTGGCGGCTTTTCTCAGCAAATATTGTTCAAAAGTTTGGGGTCAGTAAAATATGTCTCTTATGCTCACCAAGGCTGCATTTATTTGATCAAAATTGCATTAAAAACAATAATATTGTGAAATATTATTACAGTTTAAAATAAATGATTTCTATTTTTAAAATGCAATTTATTCCTGTGATGAGAAGCTGCATTTTCAGCATCATTACTCCAGTCTTCGATGTCACATGATCCTTCTGATTCGCATTATTATCAGTGTTGAAAACAGCTGTGCTGCTTTATATTTTTGTGGAAGCTGTGATACATTTCTTTTAGGATTCACTGATGAATAGAAAGTTCAAAAGAACAACATTTATTTGAAATAGAAATCTTTTGTAACATTATAAGTAAGGAATAATTGACGACGGGCCGTTGAATTATTAGAAAAATAATGCATTATTTTTCTAATAATTCAACGGCCCGTCGTCAATTCAAAACGTCATTTTAAAGCTGGTAATGGAGGCTTGAACCGTTGATAGCATTCTAATGCAGTTATTAATGAAGTTATCAGAAAGAGAGCGAGAGAGACAGAGACACACAGAGAAAGAGAAAGAGAGAGAGCTTGTGTGAATTAGGCTACCTCTGTGCGTCTCTAAACAGCACTGTTATTACCTCGCTAGTGAGAAATGTCATGTGTAGCCTTTAAGTTGCTACACTATATAGGCTAACTGATAAAATCGTCAGGGCAGCGCTGACAACAACTTCTTGTGCAAACTGCGTGACCGTAGTGTGCTTGATCAGCCAATCAGATTCAAGCATTCAACGGCCCCGTATAGTATAAGTGTCTTTACTGTGACTTTAATTGAGATATTTAATGCATCTTTGCTGAATAAAAGTGCTGATTTCTTTAATAAACTGACCCTAAACTTTTGAATGGTCGGGTATGCAGTATTATTTAAATAATTAATTGTTATATGATGTAATTAGGGGTCATATGATGTGATTTCAAGTTTTCCTTTCTCTTTGGAGTACATTTTGAATGTAAATGTTTGTTGTCCCCAAAATTAAATAATGCATTATCTATAATAATATTAATATGCATATAAAAATAAATTAATATGCATTTTATTCTTTCAGGTTTTACAGAAAGACGAAGTTGAGTGGATTCCAGGATATGGAGTGTATCCCATGTGGAGATCCGCCACCACCATATGAACCAAATTGTAAGCACATTTATTTATTACTGCTGAGTGCAAACATATTAGAATCTGTCCAGTGGATTCATTTCCTTAGGAAAAATACATCGGCGTCAGATCACAGTCATAGCTGATTTGGTAAACCTGGTAAACGTCATTTACAATGTCCTTAAAAGGTTTGTTTAGTGAAAACTCTCCCATCATTTACTCTCATGCGTTGTTATTTTAGTATCATTGAGATACTATTATATTTTTTATATAACTGTAATAATCCTCCTTTAATGCCATAACATAAAAGAAAATATTTTGATGAATGTCCTAGCCACTTTTTTCCATACCATTAACAACCATTGACTTGTGCACTATATTTCATGTGTCGTAACTGAATGCAGCGTGCCAGTTTGAATACATGTGAATGCGAGCTATTGCGGAGGGCAAGATTATCAATGAATGATGACTTCGGATTTTTATGGTGTTTTTTGGTCAATTTTTGGAGGTCTGTAGCCTCCGTTCTCTCTCACTTAGAATCAGAAACATACATAAAGTACATGATGACAGATATTTTTAGTGTAATCCTTTAAAAGGGGTCATCATACAAACAGTTGCATTAATAATAATCTGTGAGATGACGACCCACTCAGTCTTGGTGATTCATACAGCAGTGTTTTACAATCAAATAAATGGCTCTTTTTTACAAGTCAGAACACAGGCATAGGTAATAAACATCTCTCTGTGTAACTGTTCGAAACTGCATGGCTTTCTTCTGCAAACACACACTGCGTATGTTAAACACGTAGCGTTTCACAAAGCGGCGCATTGTTCTCCAGCAGTCTGTGGCGCTAATTGGGCTCATTTTACCCACCGTTGAGTGCCATTGTACGGAAGCTTGTGTCTTTGGCAGTTACGCAGGGAGAGACATGGGGATCTTATACCTTCAGAATTAAGTGTGACTTCCAGAAGTTTAAGACGTTTGCAGCTGCTGCATGTGGAGATTTGCAGCGTGTTTGTAGAGCAGAGTTTGAGCCAGGTCTAACACTCCTGCGCCAGATACATGGAAAGACGTCCTGTCACACAGGTCAGCTCGACCTCTGGATGTGAAGAATTCAATCTCTGTGTAAACTCTGGCTTATTATGTAATCATTAGGCACTACTTTTTGGTTTATTTTAGTAGTCTTTAGAGGAGAGGACACCAGTATGTTCTTTAGCTATAAAGTGTCTTTTTTAAATTATTATTTTTTTTTTTAGCATTTTTAAAATGTCCATTTAAACTTTTGTTGTTGTTTTTGCAACAACAACAAAGTTTAAATGTACATAAAAATGCTAAAAAAAAAGGACACTTTATAGCAACACAACAAATGGGCACTTTTTACAACAACAAGTGATAATCTGAAAAAATAAAATATCTGACTGCCATAAATTATTAAAAATAAAATAAAATAAAAAAGGGAATTATATGGAATTTAAAATGATTGGTCTTGGTAACCACACTGGGTATTTATTTTAATAACTGCCATAAAAAAAATAAATAAATAAAGAATTAAAACTTTTAAATTAAAAATACATTTCTTGGTTACTACATAGAGTAAGTCAAATAAATAAATAAGTAAGTAACTACTACATTACATTGAGTAGTTCTTTTAATAGCTACCATAAATTGATATATATATATATATATATATATATATATATATATATAAATAAAAAGGTATTTGTTCTATGGCTTCCAGATTTCAACAAATAAGACAGAAAGAGCTTTATTGTCAAG